TAAAACAAAGAAAAACAAAACAAGCCAGAAAAGGGCAACGTATAAAGCAAGCAGCATTGCCCTCATTTGTCAAAGGTTTTTGCCTGAGGCTGACGAGATGGTATTAATCGTGAAAAAAGACAACTGTAATTGTCCAGGAAAGTCAAAAAATGTTTCAGATTTTTTCTAAATGTTGTGTAGTTCCTAATCAACAGTACAACATGTGGTTTGTGTTCAGGTCATGTCTGTGTGATTTGTTCCGGATAGGTTCCCAGTAGCTGTCCAGTCCACGTCAGCTCAGCATTAAGGAAACAAGAATCCGAAACAGAGCAATTACAGATCTGCAGACTGCAATCTGACCTGCGTGTGCAGCCATATGAGTTAGTTTTGGATCATGTTTTTTTAACAGGATAAAACTTACCATTTTCATAGCAAGACATCCTATACTCAAATGATATACAGCAAAAGATTCAGTTTAAAGAACTTAGTCTCTTTTAAAGTCTTAATTTTCTAAACATATACAGTACATATATAATTATATATTACCCCAAATAAATATATATGTATATTGTGCAAAAGAGATAAATTTACGTTTATTTCTTATTTCTTTGGGGAAAATATTCTGCTTCACAATGTGATTTTTCAGACTAGGCCAATCAATTTTAATTGCCCCCCTAAAGCTTCAATATTTAATATTTGAAGATGTGATTTCCTCTTAGCTACTCTCAAGTCTTAAAGTTAGTCGCCATTAAGTTACAGTATTATATCAGTTGGCTTTCAAGAAGTGGTAATGGGCAGAACAGTGCACAACACATATAAAAAGAGCTGGGTGGCCTTCGCCTATACCAGGACATTTTCAGTCTTACAGTGTGAAGACATTGAAGTCTAATAGAAGGACTTGAATAAAACATTGTAAGAAAAGAACTTGTCTCCCTTCTTCCATCATTACTGTCAAAACACACCGTACATAAAACACCAAGGCCAAAATGTTTTTCACAAAAGAGGAATTAGAATATATAAAATATAGGATATAAAAATATATAACAAAGGAATAGATATATAAAAATAAATAATATAAGAATAATATATTATATTTTCTAAAAAATATTATATAATTATAGATTATTTCTAAAATAAAAATAAGAATTATTATATATTGCACATATTTTTTCTCAGTTGCATTTCAATGAACAAAAAGTATAAGTAGTATAACTTTCACCGATAAACAGATGTACAGATATAGGCCTATCTTTAATAGAGTCCTAATTTAACAGGAAATATTCCAATTTAAATATGGAACTATTTGGAAATATTAAAGTACAACATATGGGCAATTTTTCTCCTTCAAGGCTTTATATGATACCTGATCATAAGGAATAATTTGGTTTCATTTACTGAGATGTATTGATTGCATTGGGCTTTGTACATTGGCCTGGCGCAGTTAAGTTATATCAAAAGGGACTATCCCTATTAGATTTATAATATTTGATGTTATTATCTTAATTCTTATTTTGAACTTCTGCTTTGCTTCACAATTATGCTGTTGGGTGCAATTGAAAGAATGGATATTTCATTTAAGACAGATGTTTCTACAGAAGGACTGTTTGCCCTTAAGTGTTAATTAAAAAAAATGAATTTAATACTTCTGATTCCAATAATTGGTATGGGGCATTAAACAAAACTAAAAAAGCAAAAACTGTATGATAATGTTTGTTACGTTACATTGCCACAGTGAAAATGGGGATTTACAGTCTTATTCTATTCTATTGTATTGGAGAGTATGAGATTAATACAAATAATAAGCATAATATAATATATGTTTTAATTTTGGGTAATCCCATGCATACATCTGATATATAACAAAAAAATGACTTTGTGCTTAACCCAGTGGTTTCAAACTATTTAATTCATTTAACAACACACATTTAATTCATGTGAAGTTCACGGTGTATAACATATTCAGTGTAATATACACTCCATATCAGATTTCATTATTAGTATACAAAAGAAGATACAAAATTTTGGAAATGGAGTTCTGTGTTTTAAAAGTCTAAGTTTACTAATTAAGCAGTAAGAACAAACTGGAATGCTGACTCTCCTTTACAAAAAGACAGATTACACTAGTCCATCTATCTATTTTCTAACCATTTTATCCAATATAGAGTTGTGGGGCAACAGATCACACTAGTCTTTCTTCTTCAATTGTGCAGTAACAGTAAAGTATCTAGACTTTGCATGGCCTGTCTTACCATTACAATCATGTTACCTAACTGCATTATTTTGGTTTTGTATAGTAGTGGATTAGCATTAGAAAAAACATGGGACCATAATATACAGTACATGCAGTAAATGAAAAGCTGTAATAGATTGTTCATTCCATATAACATATAATAACTACTATATAACACTTATAATAATACTACAAGAGTTCATATACAATGTGCACAAGTATTTATCTGACAGATGTCTTTATCCAGGTTGACTTAAAAAGGAACTGCAACACTATTTTTATATTTTGGGGTTAGAAAGAATGGGCATTGATCAGTGCAACCACAATGAAAGTAAAATATATACAGTGATGTGTAAAACCTTCAATTTACATGACAAAATAGACTAAATTTCCAGGTGTGTGCATCTCCATATTCTGCGATTCAGAACAAGGCAACAAAACTTCTGGTGAGGTGAAGTGGCCTTATTACATTGTAAACAAGCAGTCTTAGAATAAATCTCTTAATCCATTAATCCATTAGACTCCATTGCTCTCAGCTTCGAGACAGTTTAGCCAACAAATAATATTCACTTTTAAAATCTGCACAATGTACTTATTCGTTTGTAAAACGCATTACATTTGTCATCACAGTGACTAGTAGGCAGGAAGGGCTGCTTCGTGTCACAATTCGCGTGAACTCTCACCTGTGGCAAGACCAGTGGTTGCAACAAAAAGGGGACCATACACTTCTTTCGGAACTGCCATGGGGTAGCCATAAGTCGATATCGACTCGACGACACTCAACCAACCACACTGCATTTACAAAAGTTTATGACTTTGTGCTTAAATTGGTATTTGTAAAAAATTGTGATACTGTCAATTAATTTATTTTGTTACTGATGATATGTTAACAACTCATCTGGGAAATTGGGACTGCAGTTCCCATTTAAAGCATGTATGAGATTTACATATGATGAAAAAGACAGGTGGCATGGTGGTACATTGGTTAGCATTGTTGTCTAACAGCGTGGGGGCCCTGGGTTCAAATGCGGTGGTGTTTATTTCTGCTTGGAATTTGTAGCTTTAATTTTATTACAGTATGCAGTCTGTGTTGATACCAGGCATGAATGAAAGCAGCCTGTCTCTTCATTGGCTTCCTGTCAGGTACAGGGCGGACTTCAAAATCCTTCTACTTACTTACAAGGCTTTCAGAGGTCAGACACCTGTCTATCTAATGGAACTTATTAATGTATACCATCCAAGTTGCCTGCTTAGATCACAGAATGCAGGTCTTCTTCATATTCCACGTTTTAATTAAAAAAAAACAGTTGGCTGTAAAGCCTTTAGTTACGGGGCCCCTAGATTATAGAACAGTCTCCCACCCCATATTTGGGATGCCGAGTCAATCTCAGTGTTCAAATCCAGACTGAAGACCTATTATTTCAGCCATGCCTACTCACACCTTACATTATAGCCTGCTGCAACCATGGCTGCTGGTGCTGCTGTACATGCCATTGTGTTTCTCTATTGGCCCACCACGTAGATACATCTGTTCTGACCAAACTATTCTATCCTCCTCCCCACATGTCCGAATGGTGCCTGGGCTGAGTACCATCTGAGTTGGATGTGCATCACTGCCATGAATCCAAGAGGGACATCGTGGATATACTATCGTTTAGGAGGATTTTGCTGGTCTACAGAGATCTGCATGGAGTACTGACATACAGAAGACATGATGGATGGATGGATTAATACCCTCGTTCATTTATTTCCTTTTTTAAAAATTAAATTAAAAAAAGAGGTGGGGCAGCCAGTTAACTCTGGACCCCTAGAGTTTTTTTTCTCCTTACTAAGGAGTTTTTGGCTCCTCTCCTCTGTTGTCTTCTGCTCTTCTGTTCTGTATTCACAAAATGTATGGTTACTTGCATTGTTAAGCGCCTTGGGGCATCCATTTTGTATAAGGCGCTAATAACAATATAACAATAAATTGAATTAAATTGTTAGCAAGTATTCAAGTTTACAGTATGACCCACCTGAGAAAATATTCTGTAGTCCTGTGGTTCAAAGTTCCTGGACGATCTCTCAGTCTCTTTAAAGCAACAGCTCCCTGTTTTGGAGAAGGTGTTAAATTGGTCCAATTATGTAACTCGAATTAGGAGTGGTCATAATATTACATCTGTTATGCTATCAGCTGTATATTAACTGTATAATCAGATGTTATTTCTAATCAAACGTCATCACATGGTCTTAGTTTGTTTATGTAGTAACTGAAAATTGGTTAAATTTACATTTTAAAAACCCATGTTTGGAACCTGTGTCTGAATTTAACAACTTATTTTCTATTTTTGTTTTAACAGCGTCACGTAATATCAAGTGAATGTAATCAAATATGGATCAGTTAAGATAAGCAATGGTGCATTGTTCATTTACCACTCAGATCAATGTACTGCTAAATCTATTACTTTCCCCAAGAACAGCACTACCTCTCTAATATTAATACAGAAATCGATATATGTATATACATTGTGAATGCTATTGTCTGCATTTTATGTTGTTTTTTTCTGGGAAATCAAAGCTTTCCTTTTCTTCATTTCAATAAGTTTTCGTACTGGTAAAATATTTTTTTATTTTGTAATAGTTGGTCAAATGTTTATACACACGTTAAAATCTGTCTCCGTTTTCTAACTTTTAAGCGAGGTATTGGGCGCAAAAACAGTGTTCATCTTTCAGCATTTTGAGATTTGTAGCTTTTGGGCACAAACTTTCCACCAATCAGGTCGCATTAATGCGCTCTGTCTAGGAGGAACAACATGGAAGTTTAAATCTGGGGTGTATGTTTTAGAGTAGGAGAATACACACAGTTCTCGCATGAAAATCTAACATCTCATAAACGAATAGTTATTATGAGAGTTAAATTTTCTTATAGAACAGTTTTTGAAAGAAATGAAAATGCTGGGTATGTACGTGCCAGAAAGATTTTCCCTGAAGTCTTCTAAGGTCCAAGAAGGAATCGGTCTTTACACCGCCAGACGAGTGAAAAAGGTTTGTTGATTTGAGCACAATCACGAAATCCTGATTTACAGAAGTTCCTTAATGTAATGGAATGCGTGCGAGAATTTTTAATATGTGATCCAGCATTAAAGTCAAGACAAATGACTTGTGAAAGCTTACGTTGTAAGGAGACACTGGACCAGTATTGAGTGCCACGTATCTACTATATACTGTAACTGTATTGTGTTGCAATTGTGTAAGATGGACAAAGCCTTTTTTCATATCCGTTTTTATACAGTTTAAGTGAGTTCTTTATCAGATTTCATAACAGTTACATATTATATCCTCTTTTAGCAAACTTCATAATAGGTACATTTTAAAAAACGCAACTTAACAATGTTGGCGTCTTAACATGCAGGATCAACAGCTTCGACACATTCCTTAGACGTCATTTTTATAAATATGCGTAACTGATAGTGAAAAACCGGGCTAGAGGAAGACGGTGAAAAACTTTGCGTTTTGAAATTATACATATTAAAGATTCACCTTACTTTCATATTCAACGTTTTTAATATCTATACGCGAAAACAGACGATTTATACAGTACATATCTAAATGAAAAGTATGGAGACTCATGCGAATACTCATGTTTAGTTCCAGATTTTTGTTTTTTTATCCACAGGCTAGTATTTATCTGAACAGATATTGTTATGAAAGAAATGTTTACACGTTGTATCTTTCGTGAAGAAATTGTTTTACACATTTATAATCTTGTATAAGGATTTTACCATTGAAATGCAGGCAGAGATTGTCAGTTGTCTTCAAAAATACAACTTAAGTAGTGTGTACCAGTGGTAAATAGAGGATTTTTATTTAATTGAACTGGCTTGACAACATGGCAAAAATTACCTTTATGCGTGTGTAAACTATTATTTTTCCACTAGATAAAACAGCATAAAATTCAGATTGCTTTGAAATAAAATGGTATCTAGCAATCAATGTCTGTGACATTGATGCTTTTGAAGTGTGTATTGAGTTATTTTATGTTCTCTTTCAGGGAGAGAGATTTGGCCCCTTTGCGGGTGAGAAGAAAATGCCAAATGAGCTGGATGAAAGTATGGATCCCAGATTGATGTGGGAGGTATGTTGTAAGATTATTTACAGACAGATTGCATACTAATCATTTTTAGATATTTTATTTACTGATGCTACTTTATACATAGTACTTTTCATTTAGCATTTAAGACTTCCTGCTAAAAGCAAAAGTTAAATATTGCAATTCTTGTACTTGACTGTGTATGCTCAGCATGAATATGGAAATCTACCACAGAAAATTTGTATAGCATATCCTTTATATAATATAAATTAATATTTTCCAATGGGAAAGTAATGGGCACATTAACAGAAGCTGAGAAGAATCAAATAGTAAGACAACTACAGGCAACGGGGTACATGATTTTTGTAGTTGCATAGAACCATTATTCATGATCTCAGATCTCAGACAATGGCAATCAGTTGAGACCACGTGGCAAAGAGTTTTGATGTGTGCCCAAGCTGCATCTTTGCAGTTGCTTGTGAAGTGCTCAATAAAATGTTGAGAAACTTTGTCAATTCTGCCAGTTCTGCTCTGGCTCTAAAGCAACTTGCATGAAAATTGAATCCGTTTTTTGCTTTCTTTTTGTCTCACTGCCAGGCAATTCAAAACCTGACTTAATTGTTCTAACCAGCACATTTGATGAAAACAGGATCAATTGGCTAGTAGATAGATATTTTATTGATCCCGTGAGGGAAATTGCAGTGCAACAGCAGCTTAACACACACAACACAGCCACAGTGTAACGAATTATATAATAATAGTACAATACATACAATACAATACAATACAAGAGTTACTCACAGTCCGGACACACAAAGAACAAACTAGAACAGAACAGTACACAGAAAAATTCTATCACACATATGAATATAAATATAGATGTAAATATAGATATGGATGTAAATATAGATATAATGTATTGCACAGGTCCCTGGCATATATTGCACAAAAAAAGGTTGTAGACGGGAAAAAGAAAAAGAAAAAGAAAGAGAACAGATGTAGCAGTAGATGTGTAGATGCGTTCAGTCCAGAAACAGGTCACTGTCGATGTTGCCTCTGCCAAGACGCAAGGTGGATGCGTTGTACAGTCTTATGGCAGAAGGCAAGAATGACCTCCTGTAGTGCTCCCTGTCACACCGTGGATGAATCAGTCTATTGCTGAACGTGCTCTTCATTTCTGCAAGCCTGTCATAGAGGGGATGGGAGAAGTTGTCCATGATGACCTCTAGTTTGGACATCATTCTCCTCTCAGCCAGTACCTCCAAGGGGTCCAGGTCAGACCCAATGACAGAGCTTGCTCTCCTGATGAGCTTGTATTGTTAACCTAATTATATTAATCATAATTTATAGATTAATAGTAATTTATTGAATTTATGTAGTGTTTTTCATCTCAAAAGATCCCAAAGCACCTAACAGATGGGAGAAATATGCTACTTTCATAGCTTGAAGTGTAGCACCCACCAATTATGGTAGAGCAGCTACAATACACCACATAATAGGCAGAGAAGTGAGAAATTGCTCACTTAATTGACACCTGATTGATAATGAATTCACCAACTGGACTGGGGGAGGAATTCATGTAGATCTGACTGTACAAACCCAGAATGTAATTTTGGCAGAACACAGAGGATACCATTCTTGTACTTGTACATTTCCATGAGCTTTTTAATAACCAAATAGTGTGGACATTGGTTTACCAACTCGTCTGAAGGATGTTATCTCCAAATAGGTCTCCTATCACAGTACTGACCAGGCCCAGCCTTGCTTAGCTGTTAGATCTGACAATATCAGGTAGAATGGTTTCTGTAGAATTGACATTTAAACCCCATCAATGCATTTCATTGACAACATTGTTCATACTGTATATGAGCTCACTATTCCATGGAACACATTTTCTGTCAGACTCTGATCAAGTCAGTGACACATGTTAGAGAACCAACACATATGGGCTTAAAATATGACAAACCAAGCAAAATTCTTTTTTATGATTTTCAATTGCTAATGCTCATACACCTGTTTGGTTGGAACGCCACTCTCCCTCCACCTTCATGGTTTGGAAAACTAGCACTGCTGCCACTTTCTATTTATCTGGTTTGTTTTCAATGTGTCTTTGAGACAGAGCTTCTTGCTTATTGAATTTTATACCCTCTCATTCATGGCTGTATGTCATCATGGTCAAACATTCTATCAACATTGAATGTGCTTGTGTGTTATCTACATACTTTTTTTCTTGACACATTAACCATTATATGACATGATATGTTTTATATGTGGAAGCAGTATTAGATTAAAATGCAAATAACATGAGAATGGTGCATGAGTGATTCTTAGTCATGCTGTAACACTTAAGTGAACTTTTGCTGCATGTGAAATGTATGGTATGGAATGATATCATAAATAACTTTGAAAAGAAAATGTTTTTCATCAGACACCTAGCAGCCATTTTACAGCATCATCCATTTCATTTTCTTTAAGTCTCTACTGTTTGCTCATAAATTGAAATGTTAAAGGAAAAGGTTATCTTGGAAACATTATTTCACTTTCCAGGTTCGTGGGAATAAAGGAGAAGTTCTTTATGTTCTGGATGCTAGCAATCCAAGGCACGCAAACTGGCTGCGTTTCGTCCATCAGGCCCCATCACAAGAGCAAAAAAACCTGGCTGCTATCCAGGTAAAGCTGTCTTCTTTTAGGTAGCACCTTTATATTATCTTGAAATTAGAGTGTCTGTAGATATTTTGTTTTTTCTGGATCAGTTGCCTAGTGAATTTTTCATTTTTTATCTAATGTAGAATAGAAAGCATACTTTCTGTAACAAAATCATCAGTTAAAAATGTACTGGTTGACAGTAAGAGTAAGAAAATTCTCTATTGTATCTAACCCTTAACATTTCCTGATATCAGAATTCTAACTGAAACTCAAGAAAGTGAGAAGTGAGCAGAATAAACAAATGTGTCCTAACAAATTTAAAACACTAAATTGAGGAAATTATGTCTGAACAAGACCAATACTGTCCATACTTTTACGTCTTACTACAAGAGTCACACACCAATCTGATAATCTCATTTAAATGTTCTTCTTACATGCAGTTTCTTGTTGGAGTTCAAAAGTTCAAACTTTATTAAGTCTTATTATTCTTTGGTCTCCAGTAATATGCACTGTACTGTTTCTCATTTTTTGTTTCTATGGTTAGGTGCCCATTTGAGATATTTCAGACTGTTTAACTTATCACATCACAGACCTCGACTTCAATGCAATGACATTCACTAGAGAACTGAAAATGCAACAAGACGGTTTCAGGTTATAAAATGTCTCACTTGATGGTTTAGATAGAACAATTTTAACCTTTCTGCCTTAGATGCCTTTGTATGCATTACACCTTTGGTTTCTTTGTTTCTGTATGTAAATGTTGAGGTCTGCAGGAGGGTGCCCTGAAAGTTTGGTGTGGATACAAGATCATTTTATCTCCTTCTTTGAAGACATTTTTCATACTACTTTTTCCCTGCCCCTTGTTGAAAGGAACAGGGTATCTACAATAGCTGGTGACTTCTCTTCGCAAGGGTCTTGCTTTAATTACTGTAGTTCAGGTTCCAAAATATGTCTACTGAACTCTAACTGATAATGTAAACTCCTTTTCAAAGGGGAAAAGCTTGTTGGGAGTAGCTGAGATAAATTATGAGTAAGTGTATCTATTATTATAACTGTATTTATTACTGAACATTTTCCGTAAGACAGTGGTTGAAGCATAATTTACTATTTAAGTAGGATTTCAGTACGACACCTACATGGCCCCATAATTTTGACTGGCTGTACAGTAAAAACTATGTTGCAAAAATACTTCAACTCGTTTAATTTTAGTAGTCATCATTTAAATAGGCAATGCAAGTTTTCTGCTTAATTATGGTTTAATACAGCTTGCAAGACAGGTAGACTGACAACATTTAAACATAAAACACAAAGTCCTTATGTATTTAGGGTAGCACAAATGTTATCCTTTTTACTCATAAATTAAGCATTATGAAAACAAGTGGTAAATTGTTACATCAAACATCTTGTAACACACTTATGATTTAGGTAGCATTTTTTTTGCCCTGAACATATTAATCTTATCCAATAAAAACGATTTTTTACATTGCAGCTTGCAATGTGGACGTCAGTTTCTGAGAGGTCTTAAAACCAGAGGGCTAGGTGATTAGTAATCTGACAGAATGCTGTTCTGTGTCTAGATCATGAAACAAAGGACTTGTTTAATAGAGTTGGAGAGGTTAATAGGAACAGAAGTATTTTCTCTGAACTTTGAAAGACTATGGTTTAGATGATGCTATATTGAACGATTAGTAATGAAGACCAAAGCAGTAGTTAAATATGTAAAGTTAGAACAAGCTATCTCTGTTAAGCAGGCAAAGGAAAAGAAATCATGGAAAGTGGGAAGGTTAAATTTCTATAAGCTGCTTAATGTCATTTTTATACTGTCAGCTGCACATGTGAAAGACTGCAGTCTACTCATGGTGTCTTAATAGCTATAATTCTTTCAAAGCAGAGGGATTAAATTGTTATGCAATGAGGAAACCATATCTAGAGCACACTGAGGCTGTGATAAAGATGGCATGAGCCTGTCCCAGTGATGTACTATTTCTTAGCAAAGATTTGATTTAATGTCCCTCAAAGTCAAACATTCAGTTGAAGAAATAATTAATGTAATTTTTCACTGAATCCATTTACAATTTAAATTAAAACCACATAGGCAACATATATAAGAGATATTTAGTCATTCCACCTTGAGTTTTCTGTTTTTGTTTTAAAACTAGTATTCTGAATTGAACTTTCATCCTTTTTTGCCAATAAATTGGGATTAAGTTGCCTGGAACCTCTTTTCTGTGAAAAATAAAACAGTGGTGTATTTCTTCTAGAATACTGTTGCAGTATTTCCCTATGAAAGGTTTTAACTCCCCAGTGTAGACCCTCAGTCTCCTTCAAATGAAAACTGCTAGAAATATTTTTATGTTAAATGAGTTTGCTTTGACAACACAATGTTTGGTCTTTAGATATTATTTCTATGTGAAGATATTGTCATGTAAGCACATTTAGCTTTTCAAATGTTTAACATAAATTAAATAAAATACCACATAGTCTTGTCTGACTTGGAATAGAGCAAACCACATTTTTTTCTCGAATGGTTACTAACCGTATAATATATCTTTGCTGTCTTCTGCCAAGAGACATCAGAGTGACGCTATGGTCAAGTCATAAAGTAATGTTCTAAACAGTTTAACAAAACAATTTGGCCTCAATCTTTTGTTGATAAACTTTGAAAATAGGGTTATAGGAGGTATAATCCAGTGGCTCGCACAATCTCAACACTTAATATTGTATAATTTTATGGGAGAGCTTAGCTATTCAAAGCAGTTTTTTTTCTTTTTTGTTATTGATTAAATATTTTACTCAATTACAGTCATGAAATGAGCTAAACAACTTTCCCAGGAAAATTATTTTCAGAAACGACATTATTGACTGCAGGTGAAAAACCTTTTTTTGTACTAGAAATATTTTGACAAATATTCAGTTTGGGTAATTCTTTGATGGTAAATATGGGTTAAATATCTAAGTGGCTTGTAGGGTCAAAGTTATCTATGGTCTTACATGGACTGAAAAACAAGACTTTTCCTGGAAAGAATATTAGGCCTAGAGTTTAACCCCTAACAAATGCTGGTACACATTTTATACAGCTGAGTTGACAGGAGCAATCAGGATGACATGCTTTGCTCAGGGGTACAACAGCAGCACTGTCTGTACAGGGAAGTTGAAAGCTGAACCTCTGATTTTAGATGTAACTAGGAAAACCTAGACAGTTCTCTGTGCACTTCTTTCTTGATCATATGGATGACATAAAATAGGCAGCACCAAAAAAATCAAATAACACAAAATAGCAGATGAGAAGATCACCCTGTAATCCACATTAATTTATCTTTTAAATTAATTGGTGGATATGTTTCATCAGTATTAAAAGCAATGAAGCAGTAGGAAAACTTGGATTCATGCCCCTTTAACCAGATCTGCTCACAACTATGCTGCCCATTCACTGCCTTAATGCCTTTAATGCCGTGTTGAAGAAATCTGACTATGTGAAGATTGAGGTCAGCTTTAGACATCTGTTTCTGGCTCTAAATTAAAGTATAATTCTGTCATTTGTTATTATGTAATGTAGAATTAATAATCTAAAATAATATTTTAAAAATTTTACTTTTCTTGGTATCTCCAACTTTCTCATAATAAAATGTGGAAATTTAAATTTAATATTTAATATTTTTAATGGATCCCTTATATAAAAAATAATAAAATAAAATGCACAATTTCAGTAGTTTTGTTCTTGTTAAAAAGTGTTAAAACAGTCATATTATGATCATCATATTAATTAGATATATTTTAAATTCTTTATTTGTAGTTATTTGGTTTTCCCATTTCTATGTATTTCTGAGAGGTTTATTTCCATTGCAAAAATGTATATTTAGTGTTTACATGTACTAAGCATCAAAATAAACACTGCAACATGAATTATGAGAAAATTTACATTTTATAGGACAGACATATGTAAATTTATAATGCTGATTAACATCTGTTATCAACGGTTGTTGTACTGCTTAAGTCACAGGGTAGAAATCTGTGTGTAGCCACTGCTGGAATCAGTGCATTCACACTGCACTTCAGTAGGCAAGGAAGGTCGAGTATCGAATCCTCCATCCGGGTCAGGAACGTGCGTCTTAATCCAGTGACCATGGATTGTGGCTCCTTATGGAAAGCTATGAGGATAAAATCTGTTGTAATAACAATGAGCTATAATGTAGCCACCACAAAAAAAATGTTTGAGAAAGAACTGCTGATAAATCGAATGTAGATGTTCATTATGAAATCCCTCCAGATAAAACTGGACTATAACAATTCCCTGGGCGTTCATGTGTTGGCATTACTTAATTTACACTCTAATGGCATTTAAGTAGAGCTACTTGTTAAGCCATTGTGTAGTTGTTCAATTTTGATTTAATTTGTGCATTTACTGTAGCTTGACCTCAATGAGAGGAGCCTGCAGCTGGTCAGGACAAAATACAAGAATATCATCCACAGTGCTACTGTTCAGTAGAGTACAGTTCTGTCCTCTGAATGAAAATATTCCTTATTTTAGCCAACAAGAAGAAGCATGAGCAGAGTAAGACTGGGGAGTTAGGAATCATCATCATCAGCACAACAAAGAATGTATTCCTTTTTTGGGATCTTGTTTTCTTCCCAACATTTTTGTGGTGTGAATCAAGTAGTATAGGTGAGCCCTCCCAAGTTACCGAGAGTCTTAAGCCAGGTAAAAATGTCTGTATTGGTTTTAGGCACGAGATTAATTTCTTAACTGTACATTGATGCTGTGAATTGATTTGATGTTAAAATGAATAGCTCGTTTGGCCCTATGGGCTTTAATGTCAGTTTCTGTGCAGTCAAGAGAGCCGGTCATATTAGGAAATGCTGCAAGAAATGGTTAGATCTCATAGCATGGCTACAGGCAACAGAAGCTACATTTACAGTGGATAGAATTAAATATGAGAATATTGCCAGTAATTTTATGAATCCCCTGTTTGATGGTATTTTGGTGCAAACACCACTTTCCTTATTGTTCAAAACTGATGCACTCTGAGTTGCCAACACAGCAAAAAAAAAGCACTAGTCACAAGGATTCTCAGCCCTATGAAGAAGGTTTAAGTTTCTTTTAACACTTCGCTATGACAAGCAGTATTAACAATGTCTGGGCTTAAGAGATTGGAGTGTAAAGTATATCTTTCATATAAAAATTATCAGCTGTAAAGCATGATCTAAAAAATTTCATCCTCTCCGCAAAGCTCTAATGTCAACTGGATCCCTGAAGAAATGTGACATCATTGGTCATGATTGGTCTGTGAGTTAAGCTCCTTACCTCAAAGTCAAGTTAAGTTTGACTTCACCTGCCCTGGAACAGGTTAAGAATAGAGGATGTTGCTGTAGTTACTTAACTGTATACAATTAAGTCCACATTTACAAAAGTTATCCAGTAAACTGAGTAATTTTGCTTCAAAAAGCAGCCCCTTGACATCTCATCACAGTGGCCTAAACAAAACCTCGATTCATTGCTAAACATGACTTGGCTCCACTGCTGGCATATTTGTTCCTTTCTGTGTTTTTTCTTTATTGATTTTCATTCAGGTGGGTTAAAGCACCTCATCACCTGTGCCCAACCAGCTCTCTCATTAATAAGGTGATTTAGTCTTATGAAACAATAAAAAAATCACGCAAATTAAACAATCATGTCTCAGTCAGTCGTGAATGATCAATGAATTATAATTATGCAAAACACATTTATAGACATTTATAGACACTAGAGTCTGCTTAGACTTCCTCATTCTCCCCTGGTGTGTCAAGATGAGCAAAGCATGCAACTGGTGAAATTGGATGGGTATAAGAAAAATAATGGATATTCTATTCTATTCTGTTTTGTTAAAGTATTTAATATGTTGCTTATATTTAATTTTTATTTATGTGGGCAATTAGTAACTTGAATTAGTTATAATTATTACATGCTTAATGTTGCTTTGCTGCATTTCACAACCATCATAACAGACTTCTGAAGTTATTCAGTACTACTCATTCTAACAAATAGCTGCATTTCCACTTTATATTGTATATGACTAACTGAAATCGCCACCAACCTCTACAGTGCCGAAGTAATCACAATCCACTGTTTCCAGAAGACTTTGACAGTAGAGTTATAAAGGCTGCACTGCAAGAAAGCAAACCTCTCATCAGCTCCGAAATTAGAAAGGCCAGAATACAATTTGCTAAAAAGTACAGAGACGAGCCAGTAGAGTTCTGGAACAAAATGCTATGGATAGATGAGTCAAAGATAGACCTCTACCAAGTGATGGAATGGTGAAAGTGTAGAGAAAGGGATGAACTGCAGGACAATCAAAAGCACCACTTCATCTGTGAAACATGGTGGAAGTAGTGTCATGGCTAGGGCATGTATCTCTGGAACAGGCTCACTCATCTAATGTACAGTAACTAATGCTTGTAGCTTGTAGAATCGAGAATAACTGTTTACAAAAACATCTTGGCTGCGTCTGTACAAGAAAATGCCTCCAGATTTATTGGCCAGTGCTTCATCATGCAGCAAGACAATGATCCAAAACTCTTTTCCATGCTACCAAAGAGTTAATCAGGGAAAAAAAAAAGTGGAAAGACTTTGACTGGTTTAAATCCAATTGAGCATGCATTTCACTTGCTGAAAAAGAGAATGAAGTTAGAAGCCTCCCAAAACAAACAACCACTGAAAATCGCTGTAGCGAATGTTTGGCATAGCATCTCAAAAGAACAAACCAAGACTTTGGTGATGTGAGTAGGTCACAGGCTTGATGCAGTTATTGTGTGTATAGGATTTGCAACCAGATACTAAGTTGTTTACTACTTAATTAACTTTGAGTCAATTCCTGGAGCTCAAAAAGTGTTATTTATTCTAAAATGTTAAAGTGTATATGCTCAAGAAATAACCAGAAAAAAAATACAGTTCTGTACTTTTGGCTCATTCATCTTTTCATCTCAAATCTGAATTGTTTTGAATATAGAGCAAAAACAGCAATTTTGACTTCACTGTCCCAGTACTTATGGAGGGCACAATATGTAAAACTGTGCTATAACAGCAAAGTTGTGCATCAGCCTGTCCATTATTTATTATTGCTTGTACATGTATTTTGTATTTGAAATATTTATTTGGGTAACATAATACCAAGAAATCATGCAAAGTTAATTTTTGCATTTTTGTATTTAATAACAGGATGGGGAAAATATATTCTATCTGGCTGTAGATGACATAGACACAGATACAGAGCTTCTGATTGGCTACTTGGACAGTGATATGGAAGAAGAAGAGGAAGAAGAGGAGGAAGAAGTTATTAAAGATGACGATGAAAACAGCAAAGAATCAAAGCATCTTGGTGAGAGTCTGAGGTTTGAAGCTTGTTCCTGGCTGAACACTGATTTTTTTTTCTGTGCATGCAGTCTTGGATGCAGAATCCAAACAAGTATGATTCACATTTACATCATTCGTTTCATCACTTAACTTGCACATTGTTATTTTCTTTTTCTTTTTCATGGTGTGTTCCTTGATACTTTTGCATAAGTACCTTCTATATCACAAAGACATTTTTATTGTACTCCATTAACTAAACAATAATTCACATTAATTTGAATATTGAAAGTGAAAAACTGCATTTTTATATGACATATCTGGACAAATGCAGTAATGTAACTACAAAACAATATGTTGTTCAATTATTTTGTAAACATTGCATTGCAAAGGGGTAAGAACATTATCAGACCCTAAAGACCATGTCAGCTAATGTTTTTTTCTAACCTAACATGTGACATGTATTTTATGGAACAATTACTATTGTGGTTCCATATTTGAGTCATTTACATGATGAGTAATGGTGATGACAGCTGGTACAATCAGGCTTTTGTAAAATACCCCCTTCGTGCAACAAATGAAGCAATTTTGCTTTACCCAAACTGCTGTGTAGTGGGGTTGCTGGCACATAATGGTCACTATCCGTCATGCTGATGGGAACTTCACTTACTGTAAGTGGTAGAGGAAGTGGGATTCTTCCTATATGAAAAGTGCTTTGAGATCCTTTTGGATGAAAAATGCTATAAAAAGATATGTAAAAATGCAAGAAGTTATTTTACAGTGTTCAACATATGAACATCCTGATTTTTCTCACTCATAGTTCAGTGCAGGGTGGCATGGTGCTTAGCTTTGCTGCCTAGCAGTACTGGGACCCTCAGTTCAATTATAAACCTGGGGTTCTGTCTGTAGAGTTTGTGTTTTGTGTTCACTTGGGTTTCCTCTGGGTGCTCTGGGTTCCCTGGGTTCCTTACACAGTCCAAAGACATATTGGTAGGTTAATTGGCTTGTTAGAAAATTGGGCCTGCAATGTGTGTGTGTGTCTGGGGATGCGTGTACCCTGCAATGGACTCGAGGGTGAATCCTGCCTTCTGCCAATTGCTTGGGATAGGCTCTAATTCCCACATGACCTGTATTGGATATAGCAGTTAGAAAATGAGTGGATGGATAGTTCAATGTACACAGCTTAAGAGTTTTTTTTTTATATTGGGGTTTCTCTATATTCAACAATATTTCTGGAAGTCAGGAGATTGCAATGGCCACTTTCAGAAGATTGTTCCTTTCCTTTTTTTAAATTGCATTATTGTCTTAGCCTTGTTTATTAATTGATGAAATAATAAACTACAATCGATGATCATTAAAACTCTAGGTGTTATTTTAGTCAGTAGTACATTAGTGCTGTACTTTATGTTCCTTCTTTCATACTAACATTTCTGGCCATTAACACGCTAAGTCATACATGCAACTGATAGAATGATTAAGTGCCATAGCGTTCATTTGGAAATTGTAAAGTGGAATATTTGTCTCTCATTTTTAGTTTATTTCCGTTTACCTTACAAAATAACCAAAAGGAGGATAAATAGTGAAAGTGAGTTATATTACCAGTACTCTGGGCTGCCGTGAATGAAGTCTCTGGTTTTGCAGAGATAGCGATCAGAAAAGAAGACCACCACTGTCTCCTGTGTGAGAGCAGTTTCCCCAGCCAGGAGATTCTTGCGGCACATCTGCAGACCTTGCATCAGAGGCCCAGTGAAGACAAAGAATTCAAGTGCAGGAACTGTGGGAAGAAGTTTCCAGTTAAACAGGCTTTACAAAGACAGTGAGTTTCTTTTTTATTAAACAAAAGAACTGCAACATACAGGTCTAATAAATTTAATGAATTATATTAGTTAATGGTTAGCATTGCTACCTCGCAGTGCTGAGGCCCTGAGTTCAGTTCTGGACCTGGGGTGCTATCTGTTTGGAGTTAGCATGTATCTGTGTTCTTGTGGGTATTTGGCAAGGCACTTCAGTTTCCTCCCACAGTCCAAAGACATACTGTTAGGTTAATTGGCTTCTGGGAAACTTGTCCATGGTTTGAATGTGAGTGTTTATGTCTGTGTGTGCCCTGAGATGGACTGGTGTCCTGCTCAGGGTGTATAGGCTCCAGCTCCCGCTCGACCATGTATTGGATAAAGAGTTTAGAAAAATGGTTGGATGGATATTCATCATGAATAAAATCAAAGAGCATGTGAGCTAATATACAGATCAGTATGAAAAAGCATACAACTCAAGGTTGTATATTTCTGCTGTAGGGCCTTTTATGTGTACATGGCAAAGTTTGTGGATTGTTGATGTTTGATTTGGAGGCTTAATGTGTTCCTTGCTTTGTTGATAAGGTGCACATACTGTGACTTATCTTGATTAGTGTGGGATCAAACATAGTTTGATACATATAAAAGTTTTGTAAAACATCCTTATTAATAATTATTCTGAAGCCTATGAGTGATTTGCAGCAAATGGCACATTCTGGAAGTAGCCCGGTATCCCAATGAAAGTAAAAACTGCAACAAAATGTAGTTTCTCCTTCAAAACGTAAACATTGAAAAAGCGAGTACTGAACAACAAGCTAAAGCACAGGAGAAAGTGCAATGATGCAATTGAGGACCTGGGGGAAAAAAAGCAACAGCATAGAGAAGGTGATAGAGAAGAGCTGGACCCATAATGTCACAGAAATAAATGTATGTCAGCCTGTCCTGAATAACCCGTCTGCCATCAGATCACCAAATGATTTTTCTCCACTAAAGGACCTAGTAACAGACAGTTAATTAGAATGCTCAAGGCTATAGCTCCCTGGGCACCAACATTACATATATGAATATTAAGGTATGAGACGCAACAAATTCAACAGTTACAGTGTCCTAGAAAAAACAAAATGAGAAGTGGTGGTTCTTGGAGAGTCTATTCTGCAGAAGCCTGCAAGTAAGATATGAATGATATTGAATTAAAAACGTCTGTTTTCTCCCTGGACATGGAGTGGGCGTCATTGTCCAAAGACAGGGTCTGAGCAAACGCACATTAAAACAAATGTTGATGTTGTTCATGTTGAGATGGGCAACTTTTGCATAAACAATACTCTTTCCAATTGAAACAAATTTAACGACAAACAAATTGAAAAGTAAGACCAAAGAAGGGGTTTTTGTCAGAGATCCTGCCTGCACCACAACAAAGTGAGCAACTACAAATGTTAATTTGTAAACACAGCACATCGATGAGGATGTTGTTTAAGTGTTTCTCAACCACTGGCGATCTTTCTATGATAAAGGATACCTGTATATTTGAGCAAAATTGGCAATAGTTATAGTATCTTACAGCAAATATTTACTGAGAAATTCAAAACCATTTTAACTAGAAAAGAGGCAAAGACTGAATGTGCAAAGGAGATACGGAAGGAATACTGCCAAAATAACCCTAAGGGGAAAAACAGACCATCAGTGGAGCAAGTAACTAAACAGTATATTTAAATATTCTAAGTATTAGGAACAAAACAAAATAAATAGAAACATTCAGTATTACCATGTATTATTGCTATAATTGGAATCACAGAAACATGGTTAACAGATAATAATAGTGATGAATTAGTGGATACACAGCAGTCCTGTTGGATAGAAAAGATACAAGAGGTGGGGGCTTAGCACTGTATGTAAAAAAAAACATTCAGGCTCAGGACGTAACTGAGATTAGTCAAGACCTTCAGAAACTATAATAATCAGATGTGTAGAATATATACAAAAGCATAATATTAGAAGAGTAATACAGACAGCCAAATTCATGTGTCCATTATAATGTAGGCACATACAGATGCAGTCATCTATAATGTTCATCAAACCTCGCGTTAAAGGTAAGGATGCAACATTATACCACACTTTTAGCCAGTGTACTGCAATCAACCTTTCACTGCTCAAAATAGAATCGATAGGTGGCCCTTCTGATGTTGCTTTAGATGTTACTGAAATGACAGCTACATTTAATCTGTGTTTTTCTTAGTCTAATAACCACTTTCTTGAAAATATAACATATGTGAATATACAGTATGTACTGCTGAAACATTGTATTTTATTTTAATAACTCCTTTAAAAAATTGGTGTAAATGATTTAATCTAAGATGAACTAAGCACTGTACATGTACAAAGGTAATATGGTAGTTGTTGTACAGCATACTGTAGAAATCTGTGGATGTTCACAGAATTCTGTGTTCCTGTGTGGAACATTGGAAATTGTAGTTTTTTGGCATCCAGGAATTCAGCTCACATGCCGAATTAAAGTACATGCTTTTGGTGGTTAGTTCTTTCGATTCTGTTAAATAGACCCGTTAAAAAATTGAATATTATTTCAGACTTGTAATTTTAATCAATTTCACTCACAAAACCAAACAGTATTGAAAATATTTATGTCTTTGTCCTCTCATATCAGAGCTAGTACTCAAAATACTTTGTTTTTAGTCTATCTTAATACATCGCCTGTAATGTGGGAGGCCCTAGTTCGAAACACGTCAAATGTAGTTCTATTTTATCACATTGCCTCTTGGGGATTACTAAATTAAGATTAAAATAAAATTAGCAATAACATGAATGAGCCTGTGTGGTGCAGAACTACTGTAGCAAACAAGAGATCCTGGAGCTGTTTCACAGTCCAAGAGAGGGATAGTTGGGAATTGAACCTAGGCCTCCCACACATGAGGAAAGAATTCTACCATCAAACCACCAGTGTGTCGCTCATGTATCAACTACAGTGCAATTACCAATGTGTAACTGTAAGTCTTTCTTTGAAAGTAATTAAAATATATTTTTTATATGTTTATTTTATTTTTATTTAGTATGATATATTTTTAAAGGCATGTTTTACAGTATAATATATTTGTAATAATCTAAGATAAAATTATGGTTTCTAATTACTATTTATACCAAATTACAGTATATTCTATGTAATTTAAATTATTTTCATGTTATACAGTATTGTGTCATACAGTATTTTATTTGGATTTGTGCGTAATCATTGTAGTTATTTAAATTGTTGCTAGTAAAGTAGAAATGCCCTACAATATGATTAGCCATGGAAGAACTAATGGATTAATAAACATTTAATTTTTATTATTAAAGTAAGATTTGAGTGACAGGCACCTACAACTGCTGTACATTAAGGATTCACTGAGCCACCTGGCAGTTTTAAAGAGTAGTTCACTTCACAAAAATATAAAAGGCACGATGCATTGCTGTTTGTCATGTTGAAACACTTGTTGCTACTTGTGGTATACCATCTGACACCTTGCACATGCATCTGTATAATGAAAGTAGTATCATATGTGTGAAGGGAGAATGGTTATTATGCAAGGTTTCAATTTTCTTCACATAGAGTGAGAAAAATCAGTAGGGACCTCAGTACATAAAACTGAAATGGTAGACAAGGCTAATGTCTTCAGATCTTTATTCCTTATTTTCCCAGATCACCTATTGGAAGGAATAATTAATTAAGTAAAATATAAGGGGAAAGGAAGCGATTTCTAAAATGATTAAAAAATAATGTGATCCAGCATCAGAAAACAGATTATTATAAAAAATGTTCTTATAAAGCTCAAGAGAATGAAAGTTAAAGGCTAAATACATGTTCAGTATTAGAACTGTAGAAGAACAGTAAAAGATTAAGTGTGTCAGATAGTATGTACAGTAAACATTTTGTAGTGAAAAGGAAATGGTCCATTAAGTTATTTACCAGTGAAGAAATCAACAATGTGCCTGAGGAATGAGTGAGTTCTATTTCAGACAATACTAATGTTGAAGAAGCTTAAGATTTACAATTTCTAGAAGACTTAATGTAAATCTCCAGAATCCGATGCTATTTTACCAGATATATTTAAGGAAACAAGAGGTTTTAGTCATAGCTTTTGAGCAGTCACTCAAGCTGGGGTAGTACCTCTGAAAAAATTGCTAATGTAGTGCCAATCGACTAAAAGTGTGACAAAACCAAAGCAAGTAATTGTAGGTCAATTAGTCTTACTTCAGTTACAGTCATAAGTACAATTCCTTAACTTTATGGAAATTTTAATTGGAACTAAACTAGATGATCATCTGTATGGCAAGAGAATCCTAGGGGATAGTCAGCATGGATTGCTTAACTAAATTGTAAGAATTCATTGAACAAGCAACAGCATTAATGGATACAAAAGATGTGTGGAGCATAATGTATTTAGACTTTCACAAAGTCATCAAGCACAAAGTATGAAGTGGCCATTTGCATTGTTTGGTGTCTTGTGGTGTTTGGCCAGCTTTTGTCACAAAATAATTCTTAAAACAAAGAAGGAAAGAGAAAACATATTCCTCTGTTGTATTCACTCTAGCTAGCTGGGGAACTTCAGCTCTTTATGACATAAAGGTACAGAAGTCTACATTGTTGAAATTTGCTAGAGCTTCATAAACTAAAGAAAATTAATGGAAATAGAATTCAAAATAAAAACCACAGAAGACTGCTGCTTTTCTCAACTCACATTAATGATTTTGATTCTGCTTTAGTTAGCAAACAAGAAGCAGAGGACACGCAAGTAGGAAGATTACCAAACACTCTAGAAGCTAAAAAGGAAATTAGAGAAACGTTGACAAAAGACCGGGTTAAATAGAGAATATCAGAAAATGAATCATGAATCTACAGTAAGATAGAAAATACTGAATTTGAAGTAATTTTAAATTTGGCTAAACCTACCATTTGTTTTATTTTAAATGCATATAAATAATAGTATTTAGCATGTAGAAATGGTGTTTTCAGACTTTTGAGTTTTTACCACTTTTG